CCGCTACCCTATCCCTGTAACCCTGCATTTCCCATGGCTAACCCACCTAGACTGCACATCTTTGGATTTTGAAAAGAAACTCGAGCACCGAAAGGAATCCCGCACAGACTCAGGCAGGATGTGTAAATTCCACGCAGGCAGTCACCCGAGTGTGGAATTGAACCCAGGTTCCCAGTACTGTGAGGTAGCAGCGCTAACCACTGAGCCATCAATTAGGAAAATCTCCAAGTCCATAACAGGTCTGTGAGTAGCTAACAGAAGGAGAATGACAAATTCTGTTGTCACTAAGGAGAACAAATTCCAGCTCAATAAACTCAAGAATCCTCTATTTAACATTTTTTTTTTAAATTCACATCAGAAATCACAAATTGCAATACTAGAATTACATGTTATAACCATATATTTCAATCTCTTACCTTTTCCCTGGTGCTATGGGCTGTCATTGATCTTTGAGCTGCTCCTCGCAAAGCTGTTCTATAGTTGTAGAAATTACTAGAAGGATCCATTTGATGCTGGGATCAAACAAAAGTTCAATTAGTGATCATTTTAAAGCATGAAAAATTTATATTAATTGAATTAAAATTGAATTAAGATTTACAAATTGCATTATAATTAACAATCTGAGAATAAAATGATAATTGTTCTTAATAATAAACTTATGCGGATCCTACAAGCAAAGGAAGAACGTTTATCTGTGTTGGGTCAATGTTTATTGTATAAACGTAGGAAGTTGCTTTACAAATTTCTAATCGTGATTTTCTACTTTTAATTGGACTTTTAAGGTGCATTCAATAGAGCAGAAGATAAAAATCGGCAAGCAAAAGGGTACCACCTGGCAGCCAACTTAAACAGCAGTTTGGCAAAGGACATCTTGTTCTTAAATAGAACAAGGTGTATGAAATCTAATAAGAATGAAAACTAATAATTGCATTAAATGTCCAAAATATATGTGAAATTATGGATTGTTCAATGACTAAAGAGAGTGAGCATGCAAATATCTGAATATTTCAAACAATTGTGAAACAGTGGTTGCGGAGGTTTATTCTACTGCTGGCATTTATAAATATTAACATATTGTTTTTGCATATGATTTCTATTTTGAACAATAGTATTTTTGAGGGCCTGGGTGTAGATGTGTATGGGATATTGTTAAACTGTTTTAAGATTGATTCGTGTTTTCAATGGACTCAGTCAGGACGGCATTCAGACCTTTGTGTTTATCAGGATGCTTTGTTTTTGCCTCCGAGTCCCTCTCCACATACAACTGTACCCACTGAGATGTGCTTTGGTTATGATTTATAATTCACAATACCATGTAATACTGCACATACTTCATAATGCTACACCATATAACTGATGTTCTTGCACTACTGGATAAAAAATGGAATTAAAAACCACAACATGAAAGAAATTAGCTGAATTAAATAAAATTTTAGGGTAAAATCTATAATTTAAGTGCAAGCAGCAACATGTGTCCACATCGCACTAGTTTTCTCTAGTGAAGCTGTGGTGCAAGATTCCACTCTCCACATAATTACAATGGCAACATCTTCCATGGAATCGAGCTTCATTTTAGAACAAAACATTTCATTTTTCTTTACTTGTACAAAGAATATTTCTTGATATTCTTAAGAATAGGAAGGTGGTTTAATTTTATGAATACTTCTGAAAATGGGCAGGTATGATAATGATATCCGCTAGCTCACGCGTGGGGATTGGCTAGTTCATTTGGCTAGATGGTTAGTTTGAAATACAGAGTGTGTGCTCAATCCTGCACTGGTTGAGGTTACCATAAAGAATCACTACCGTGTAGAAACAGGCCCTTCAGCCCAACAAAGCCACACCGTCCCTCAGAGCATCCCACCCAGATCTATCCCCCTATAAACCCACCTAATCTACACCTCCCTGAACACTATGGGCAATTTATCATGGCCAATCCGCCTAACCTGCACATCTTTGGACTGTGGGAGGAAACCGGAGCACCCGGAGGCAACCCACACAGACGCAGGGAGAGTGTGCAAACTCCACACAGACAGTCACCTGAGGATGGAATCGAAACCAGGGTCCCTGGTGCTGTGAGGCAGCAGCGCTAACCCCTGTGCCACTATGCCTCCCCTTCTCTCCCTCTTAAGGAGATGGACTCTCCTTCTCAACTTCCACCCTTGCCTGAAGTGTGGTGACCTTCAAACCAAACTACCATGTCATATCTCTCTAATGAGGGAGCAGCCCTGTGTTCCAACAGGACTCTGGCGACTTCACCCTAGCTCACTACCATGAAGCTGACCTTAAATTACCTCAAAGACTATACACAATCATCTATTAGGTTAAATAGAGAACTTTGGTCAGTTTCTTAGTAAGTTAAATATTTAATAACTTCTAGAAACTGTAAACAGCTTCAAAGTAACACAATTATTGGAAACCCATCATGGTGTTTTGCTAATCTAGGGGTGTGATCAGTTTTGTGGATGGAAATAGATTCCCTTTTAAAAAACAATGCAGAAATGTGAAAGGATGGTCTCTACATTCTCTGCAAAGTCCTGTGAAAACCTAGACTGCACTGAACCTGAGATAGTAAGAACTGCCGATGCTGGAGTCAGATATAACACAGTGTGGAGCTGGAGGAGCACAGCAGCCCAGGCAGCATCAGAGAAACAGGAAAGTTGACGTTTCGGGTTCCAACCTGACCTGGCCTGCTGTACTCCTCCAGCTCCACACTGTGTTATCTCTGCAGTGAACCTAACTTGAGTTGAAATTTCTTGATCTATTGCACAGCTTTGCCCAATTTCAGGAAAATAACGCTGGAAAAGAGAGTGCAATCCAGTGAGAACTCAATTCCTTTATGAACTTAAAAAGTGATATAACAGCCAATGAAAAAATATATACTCTGAAAGCAATAAAACACACCAGCAAGGATAGGTCACAAATATGAACCAGTGCATCTCAGTAAATTTGTGATATTAGATCATGAACCAAAATTGTAATTCATTGAGTACTGCCTAGTACTTTGACTAAAATTAGACTCTCATAACATGGAACATACATTATGCGAGTGATAAATGCATGTAGGTGAAGTAGCCTCAGGCTAAATATTGTGCTAGTGGTACTTACCTCAAGGATATCAAACTTAGCCGTTTTGATTTTTGCCCAGGTTTTCTTTAGTCTAGAAACAGGGCTCATGTTCATGCCAGCTGTAAAGAGGTAAATTAAAATGCCCATGTTTAGTTAACGTACTGAAAAAGAATAAGTTTCTTCAGTGAGCAATATATATTCAACATTCTTGAGGAGACAGAGTGACTTGCAAGAATTATAGGAATAATTAAGATCTATTTTACTGGTAATTTCTACTTCAGTGGTAAGAATTAGAATATTGTAAAGTCTGTTGAAAAGATGAAAAGGAGCATTTTTATTTATCCATATTAGGGCTAAATTTAAAAGTTCCTCAAAACAGGAATGGGTTTGTGATCCAAAATTAACCTTTTTATCTATCAGAACTTTAACGTGATATTCATATACTTCAACGCAGTCAAAAATCATAGCTTAAATGCATTGCCTGCTGTTTAACCATTAACAGCCAGATCTGCCATACAGGCTGTCCAATTCACACAGTTTGTCTCTTTTACATGGTGCACAATCCAGACAGAGGGAACTAACAGGAAGAGAACATGCATGCCTGTGCATTGTGACTTCCTTGGAGGGAGCAGTACTAGTCATTGTTGGATATCCATTGCTGAGGTGTTGAAATTGGTCAAGGAATACTGTATCTTCACATTTAATCTTCCTCTCACATCCTGCCTCATCCCATATTTACCAGCTGCAAATAGTGTAAACACATACCTCCGACCTTCCCACCTTCCCAAAATCAAAACCTCACTCTTGTGCTTTGTTCCTGCAAATACCCAACTTTTGCATCACTGCCAGGGTGAAGGGAGACCAGGAACAGTGTAATAATGAAGATATATCACATTCACAGTCACTAATTCATATTCTGACAATGCACATATTTTAGAGTGAAAGAGGACGGATTTGCACATGGTGAAAGCCTGTAAAAGTTTATGGCCAGTACTGGGAGGTCCATCAGCCAGTTAAGTGGCTGCCATTGGGGTTCCCGTGCTTTTAAAGCTGAAGATCCCACATCCAAAAGCTGCCTGTTATTCAAACAGCCACAAGCTATTCAGGCACAACAGCAGCACTGGGAACAGTGTCCACAGCTGGGAGTGCAGAAAGATCTCAAAACAGCAGTATCAGTGGGGGTGCCAACAAAGAGGTGGAGTAGGTAACGTCGATGAGAGGGAGGACTCCATGGGCACTGGGTGACTGATTACATGCAGTCACTCACTCAATGAGTGGTCAGGGTGTCCTTTCCACATGGTAAAAGACCATGATTCATTGGTAGAATGAGTGGAAGCAGGATAAGGCCCTTAAAATGGGCATCAATTGGCCATTCAAGGACTGCAGTTGGTCTCGAGGATGCAAAGTTGTTCTCAACCATCCCTGTCCCTCTTTATCAGGGTGATGCTTCTCTATCCTACATCTTCTGACCTGCCCTGTGCTGGATGGCAAGGAATTAAATTCTATCCAGTGAAACAACAGGCATTAATGGCCTGCTGTCAGGGTGTGGAGCAAGGGTGTGCAGGTCCGGGCTTGACAGAGAGGAATCTGCTAGAAGGGTCTCAAGTGAGCATTCCAACATGAGCAGTGCAGAGAAGAGGTTGATTGCTATACACATGAAATGCTTGGTGCATTGGCAAGCTTGATGAAGCCTGTGTTCAATGTCAAGGGGGTGGATGAGTCTACTACACCTCGTTGGCTGAACTTGCAGCTCACCCTTTCCCCCTTTCTAGTGGAGGTGATGGCCTAGTGGTATTATCACTGGACTGTTAATTCAGAGACCTTGATAACGTTCTGGGGATCTGGGTTCGAATCCCACCACAGCAGATGGTGGAATTTGAATTCAATAAATATCTGGAATCAAGAGTCTACTGATGGCCATAAATCAATTGCCGATTGTCGGGAAAAATCCATCTGGTTCACTAATGTCCTTTAGGGAAGGAAACTGCCTTCCTTACCTGGTCTGGCCTACATGTGACTCCAGGCTCACAGCAATGTGGTTGACTCTTAATTAGGGATGGGCAATAAATGCTGCCTGGCCAGCAATGCCCTCATCCCGTTAATGAACAAATAAATGATGTGGAAATGGGGTAAATTTGATAATGCTGATGTCAACTAGTGGTTTAAGGTTTCACTGAAAAGTCTGCAAGCGTCTGCAGCTTAACTTTCTCTTTCTCCTATAGAGTTGATGCTTAGATGTATGAAACTAAAAGTGCTGGAAGTTGTGCATTTTAGTCAACTTATTCAAATGTTGAGCAAGATGATGAACCTTCAACAGAAGGAGCCTTGCCAGCACCATGAAACCGGTAGTCCACTAGTACAAGTCAAATTCAGTGTTCCTAAATTCTTTATGTTGTTACAACTAAGAACTTTATGGCTTGTGAATTTTAGTGAGTAACCACGAATGCCCCTCTCAGACCACCACAAACCCAAGGTCAACGTGAAAGCAATTGCATGCAAATGTATTGGTTTCAGTTTAGAAGACATATTATTAAATGTGCTTTTTTTTTCATCATAATTAGCATAGCAACAGATTATTAGTATTAACAGACTGCATCATACAAATTCTACCTTAATATTTGGTGGGACTACAGATACATTTAAAATATCATGAAAAAATCCATGAGCTTTAGTAGAGTCTTCTTTTCCCCAAGGTCATATATAATCAGCATTTCAATCCAATCCATTTATTTATCTGAAGACATATTTTATGGTATTTTTCCTTGTTACGCACAAAATATACAAAACACACATTTATCCCTGACCCCTCCTTATGATATCAATTGTACTCAATCCCAGAGGTTCAATTATTATCAACTATTATATCCTTCATTATACTACTTAGAACCATCAAGTACACTTCCAAAAAAAATCTTTATTCAGCTTTCAAAAATTATCAAAAATACAGTTGTCAGTTTCAGTTGGTGATCCAATCCACCCATATTTTATTCTGTTGAGGCAGTTGCTTGAAGCTTACTGGGCAATTTTTATATTCTGCAAATTTGCGTTCACAATCCAAACAATGTAACTCACCAAAACCCACATAACCTTTTATTGTCAGTGTTTTAAAACTTGGATTTCATCCACACTCAATTATTATTGAATGAAAATAATCAGTTCACTAAGTCTGCCTTCATAACAGAGAGCTCTCAGGCCTCAAATTATCCCCGTCAATCATATTTTGGACCATTTCCAATGCAGCAATGTCACCTTGAAGGTATGGTGCTCACAATTTCCAAATGCTGTTTCAAATGTGGACCAGTCAATGATCTATAAAATGTTAGTATAATTGTTCTGACTGATACTCAAATGCCGTTGAGATACAAAACCAGTACGTTATTATATTTGCTGATAGCATTGTATTAACTTGGCTCAATTACAGGGCAGCGTTTTGTTGTAAGTCCCTAAAGTTAAAGATACTGACAATTTAAACCTAATGTGCTTGCATGATACATTCTTTTAGACTTAATAGATTTTTTTTTTCTTTACTGAACGTTAAACTCATAATCAATAATGTATATGTGGCTGAATGCATATGACTTGTCTAGATACCAGTGCTGATGACTGATTATAATTTAGAAAGCATATCACAAACATATTTCATAAATAATACTGTTGTAATTTAATGAGAATCTACCAACCTGATTAATCTGTCCTGTGTAAGTTAAATCTCAGTTTATGAGCAATACTTACAAATAATTGCCATCAAGGAATTGAAGTTGCCAATATTGAAGCATTCCCGAGCCACATCAATGAAATATTCTATTACTCGTGCCCTGTGCTTCTTCTTCACTGGCTGTGAATGACAGGTGAGAAAATTGGACTTTAGATGAGACAATACTTTTCACTAAAGGAAACTGCCAGTTGAAATGCATAATAATGAGACAATTATGGTGACAGGCACAAAGAAATAACTCCATATTAGAACATGGAAAGGGCTGACTCACCATGCAGATCTCTGTCGCGACGAGATAGCTCAGTCTGTTGAACCACTCTACATATGCTTCCAGGTTGCTTGCTTTTTTCAGATCATTAAAACAGTTCTGAAATAAAAGAATGCCAACAAGATTTTTTCATGAAAAATGCAAAATACTCCATTGAATTTCACAAATAAAAGTGTATGTGATGAACGGTAGGTGTCATGGCGTATTTTTAAATATTGGGAGATGTTGACATAGCACAGTTTGTCATGGTATATTTCCTTCTAAACTTTGTCGATGATTTTCAACTGAAAACAATCAAATGTGTATAAAACATATAACATTCAGACTTATTAGCACCAAAAACTCAGCTGGTAGCACTTTTGGATATTGTTTGGATTTTTCATTGTAACATTAGGTTTGAAAGCATGGTGTAGCATTTCTCCACAAGACTGTTACAAAGTATCCTTTTCAAAAACGCAGTGAAATTTGCTGTGGATGTACGGATTCAAATTCACGCTTACAAATTCACGCAATTTCCATCCTGGCTCCTTAAGCCTGCTATTGCCCTTTAGACACTAATCAAATCCACTTCAGAAGGCAAAGACACAATATGTGTAGGACCACGATTTCAAAGTAGCCAGCTCTTTTACATCTACCACCAATTTTTGCTGGATTGGAAGTCTCAACCTGCTGAGCACTTAAAGTGCTTTCAGGTTCACAATGTAATTCTCTGCTGCAGTTTCAAATTCCCCTACCGACAATATTTTCCCTGAGACAGGTGAGTTCCCCGTAGGCTGTAGGTAACCCTGCTGGTTAAATCAAGTTGTAAACTTTGGGAGAAGCCTGCTGTGGTGTCGAGAACCTTTTGACAGTTACTTTTAAAATGTCTTGCCAAAGCCCTCCCATATTCCCAAAACACACTCCACGCTCCCTCATATCTCCCATGTCCCCTTCATACCCCCACCATATTTCCTCAATACTCAATGGACCCGTGCTCCCATGCCCTTTCCATTTCCTTGTGCCCTCTTACATCCTCTACACCTTCTCCTCCAATATCCACTGTGCTCAGAACCAATAATAATGCCGACAATTCTTCAAAATGCTTCTTTAAATGATCAACTAAGAAAATAGGCTTTGGAAACCTCTTCTAAGAAAAAAAGCGTTCCTTTTACAACCACACAGAAATGTTAAAAAGTATCAATGGACAAAGCTGTGGTCCTCTTGACACCTCCTCTTCCTGTTCAAATGAACATACTGGAAATGAAAATCTACTTTAAAGAAAGAAAAAAAATTTACTAAATGCTAATAAAAGTGTCGATCAAACAACGCTAGCACTCCCACTTGCAGCCAATAGGGCTGAATGGATGACTGTGTCTTGGAACCCACTCAAGCCTTCATAATGAGGCAATCTGACAACTGAATCAACAGATGCAGGCTGAACAGATGGTCAGACATCTGGTTTCCCAGATTTCCAAACTGGGCACCATGCCAATTATGCCATTCCTAGTGCCAACCGTTTTGCCCCAACCTCTGGTGTAATTTTACCAGCAGTGGGGCGGTGGGGTTGGGGGTGGAAGCGCAGGTACCTCAGGAGACCTGGCCATCTATGTATCAATTGAGGCCTTCAGAGGGCCAAATAATGCCCACTTAAGGATTTCCTCCCATTGTTACTGTGATTTTGTCCTCATGGGGGAGACTTATGCAACAGTCCAGTCTATCCGTTAAAACGTAGAACGTAGAACAGTACAGGCCCTTCGGCCCATGATGTTGTGCCGACCTATTATCCTAAGATCAATCTACCCTGCATACCTTACATTTTACTATCCTCCATGTGCCTATCCAAGAGTCACTTAAAAGTCTCGAACTATCTGACTCCACTACCACTGCCGGCAGCGCATTCCACACACCCACCACTCTCTGTGTAAAGAACCTACATCTGACATTTCCCCTATACCTTCCTCCAATCACCTTAAAATTATGCCCCCTTGTAATAGTCATTTCCGCCCTGGGAAAAAGTGTCTGACTATCCACTCTATCTATGCCTTTCATCATCTCGTACACCTCTATCAACTCACCTCTCATCCTTCTTACCTGGTTAGCTGATGGCCAGGCAAGTGGTTCTTGTATCCGTGTTGGGGCCCCTATGCTAATTGGGCTCCATCTCCAAGGGTAACCCTTGATAACAGATTTCCTGTCCGTTACAGCCCTGTACACACAGCCCTTGCCTCAAGCCAATTAATGGCCCCAATGGACACACGCCATTGTAGTGTTCAACCCGATGAGTGGTTACTTGGTATTAAACTGGGCAGCAGTGGTAGTACAAGAATTGACATTAATCATGTGAGTAAATGGGTATAAAACCTGTGGCCGGGGATCCTGCCCTTGATCATGATGAAGCGACACATATTAAAAATGCACCTGCTGGTGACAGGTGAGCATAAGACTCACGGCAGCTACAATGATTCCTGCTGTTAAATATCCTGACACTGGGATAACACAATTACACAGATCAGCAAGGGGAGTTTCACCAGTATATGTGAATTTATAACCCAGCAATGCCCTCATTAAAGGAACAATTGTGACTGCTAAATCAAGCATCTCCTAGAAGAACTCAAAAATCAAGCATAACTTCATAGCCTTAGAACACAAGAATAGTTAAGGAGAAGTTTAAACATGGTATTATGCATGTGTTCAGAACCTTAAATGAAATGGACAACAAAGTTCTTCTGATGAAGTCACTGAACTCGAAACATTACCTCTGCTTTCTCCCCACAGGTACTGCTAGACCCGCTGAGTTTTTCCAGCAATATCTGTTTTTATTTCTTCCAACTCTACTTAGAGTCACAGAGTCATACAGCATGGAAACAGACCCTTTGATCTAACCAGTCCATGCTGAACATAATCCCAACTAAACTAGTCCCACCTGCCTGCTCCTGGCCCATATCCCTCTAAACCTTTCCTACTCATGCACTTATCCAAACGTCTTTTAAATGTTGCAATTGTACCCACATTCACCATTTCCTCAGGAAGTTCACTCCACACGCGAACCACCCTCTGTGTAAAAAAATTGCCTCTCATGTCTTTTTTAAATCTTTCTCCTCACACCTTAAAATGGCTCTTTTATTATTTTTAGTAAGAGTACTAGCTAAGGAGTAAGATGTGCAGTAAATCACTTCGCTAAAAATTAGTACGACCGAAGATGAAATGTCAAAAATAAGTGTTTAGCTGGGTAATAAAAGTCTGCAGACAATACAATGAATAGAAGGTCGATGGAGGTAAGGAGTTCACATAGTTCTGAAGTCCTGGAAGAGTATATGTTTGATCAGGACACCGTTCAATAGATTTTGATTTCTTCACTGTATTTTTTAAGCAGAAATTGAATCACCCACTGTTTCACATCTTATTGTCATCAAGTATACTTTGTGCAATTAGAAGATCTGTTTCCAAAACTTCTGGAAAGCAAATACAACCACCTGCAATTGGATTTGGATTGGTATCTCTAAACATTTTGTAAAATGAATCAAAATCATGCACTACAAATCTTATCAATTGAAGCCATTATCCATTTTGTTTAGCTTTGGGCTCAGTAAAAGACAACAACGTTATTTGCTACACAGTGTAACACTGAAATTCATGAGATATTGCATTCTCTCTGTACAAGAGTTTAAGAGCTTCAGTGTTTTCAATCTGTTGGATACAGTAGAAAAAAAACTGTTATTACACCACAGAGTTGGAGTCATAAATTCTCTTGGGTTTAACACTATATAAATTGCACATGTTATGGTTTCTCAGTTCAGTACTTTCTTTATTCCATCTCAGACGAATGCTATTAGTGTTATTATTAGATTCAATCCATTCTCATTCTGTAAGTCATAACCAAAAATAGCAGTGCAGTGAAAAGCCTGGCTTTGGCATAATACATAATGGTGGAAATTTAATCTGAAAAGTGCATCTCCCAATAGCATGACAAAGTGAGCTGTTCCATTCACGTGTCTGGAGCTGTGGCATGCACAACAGGCAAGGGAAAACCTAGCAGAGGTGCCATGGACTATGTGAAACCTTGCACGGAGCATGTCCTTCCAAGACTTGAGTTCTGCCAAGGCTGCTCTGGCTGGCCTTGGGCCAACCTTTTAACAGCCTCCCAGGGAGATTGGGTGCACCTTATCCCCCCTGCCAATGAGTCTCCAGCAGGCAGAGCCGAGGAGGATGTCCCTGTGTCTGTGCAGGAGACTCTAGCAAGATCAGGTACCTCAAGGCTTCAGACCACCAGAGGTCCTTGCCTTCAGCAGGCTGGCTATTTATCAGCTGTTAATATCAGAATTACACCAAAGCTGTGATCAGACTTATGAACGGACCTCTCACATATTAGAGTTGATCTTTCTCTGTACCTTCTCGATAGCTGTAACCCTACATTCTGCATTCTGTTCTATTACCCTGATATATTTATGTAAAGTATGACTTGTCTGGTAAGTACACAAAACAACACTTTTCACTGCATCCCAGTACATGTGACAATAATAAATCAAATCAAATCAAGCACAGTGGCACAAGCAAAATGCTGAGACATTTTGACGGCACAGTAGTCGCAAGGGTTTATGGGGCACTTGGCACACAAATCAGGAGCAATAATAGGCCACTCGGCCCCTCAAGGCTGCCCCTAATAAGATTCAATATGACCATGGCAGATCTGATTATGTCACAGTCCCATCTACCTTCATGAATTTCACCTTCTTACTTATCAACAATCTATGTGCCTCGATTTTTAAAAAAATAAAACTCTGCTTCTGCTCACTTTTGAAGAAGAGAGTTCCAAAGAAACTGTGAGAAAAATATTTTCCTTATCTCTGTCCAACATGGGTGACCATTTAACAGTGATTTCTTCTACTTTTAGACTCGCTCACAAAAAGATAAATATATACGACACCTGTCAATATCTCTCAAGATCTTATATGTTTCAATCAATCATTCAATCTTAATCGCTTTATCCCCAGTGGATACAATGCTAGCCTGTCCAACCTTCCATCATAAGATAAGCCACGCTTTCCAGGTATTAGTCTAATGAAAACCTTCTTTGAACTGCTTCCTCTGCACTTGCTTCCTTCCTTAAATAAGGAGACCGA